AACCGCTGACCTTGTGGTTCACAGCCCGATAGGAAATAGAGGATCCCAAATTCAAACATGTGACTTTCTGATTTCCACCATACATGCTGATTTTTAGAGTAAAGAAGGAACACATGGATCACATTTTCCCTCAATGATTTCTTCCCATTCTCTGTGGCTACTTAGAAAATTCCAAAGAAACTCAGTCTTTTTACTTCAGTCATCAAACTGACTGCAATACTTACTAAGCCCTAAACAAAAACAATCCTGGATTTGCAATACTAGGAGACTCCTGTGTTCTATCACGAGTTTCCTTTCTGCTCTTTAGCTGTCTAGGTTTTAAAAATATAGATTACTTATGCTTTCCTAAATCCAAATCTAATTGTGTAGAGACACCTGGGCAAAGTTGCTATTCTTTAAATTGCTGTTTGTGTTACAGTAAATAAATGGTAGTGAAAAAACAACAACTCTGAATCACTGTGTTGTCATCGTAGATTATAAACACACAGGAACTCAAATTTTGTCTCCAAGGATCTGAATTATCTTCAGGGTTGGATTTTTCAAGTCCTAAACTTCTATTAGTCCTCAGCTAAGATAACACAAAGATGATACAATGAGGAGTATTCCAGCATCTCCTTTTTTTTTTTTTTTTTTTTTTTAGTATTAAAATCAGCTAGATTCCTTGCTGGGTGGAGATGTTTTCTCCTTAAGTTGTGTGTCTTGGCCCTTTCCAACAGATATGTTTTTCTCCCACTCATACTGCTCCCCTTCTCCAGGTTTTTTTTTCTAGTGTAGAAATGTTTTTCTTTTTTGTTCCAATTAAGTCAGCATCTCTACTTAAATAACCAGCATTCTCTTTCAAATTTTTTCAAACAATCTCTTTCAAATTTTTCCTAAAATTTGCTACATTAAACTTAGAATACCAGGCCTGTGCAAACGTTGTTTTGAGTACAAAAATAACCAACATCTCACATTTAACATGAGGGTGCTGACACAGGGCATGTACAATGCTCACCATGAGGCACAGTTGGTGGCATGTCACCTTTGTGTTCAGCATACAGGATGATCCCAGAAAAGCTAGATCCTGAGGATCTAAGGTTAACCTCAAGTTTAGGACCACTTTGTATTCTTGTAGATTAAAATTGGGTTAAAGTTTACCTGTAACTATATTGGATTCAATATCTTCTGGTATTTTAGATTCTCGCTTCCCAGGGTTTAACTTAAATTGTTGTTGTTGTTGTTTAAGTGCCATTGAGTTGGTTCTGACTCATAGCGACCCTGTTTAGGGTGTCTGAGGAGTGGCCTGTGAGTTTGAACTGTGGTTCATAACAACCTTGCAGTCCAGTGCAGTATATACTTCTGCAGTGTTATTTAGGATACTGAGTTGGCGCATAGATAAACATTTGACTTAGTGCACTGAACTTCACTTCCAGATCTTTCTAAAAGCGTTATCTTGCATGTAGCATGCCCTCAATAACGGTTTGGTTTTGTTGGTTTGAACTTAAACTACTTCCTAAATGTGGTGCTGTGAGTTAATGCACTGGACTGCAAGGTTGGTTTGAACCCAAAGGTTGGCAGTTCAAGGTGAGCTGGTGAGCTGCTCCTTGGAAACCCTATACAGGGTCATTATGAGTCAGAACTATAAACAAAAAAGAAAACATTGCGAAGGACACTGCTATATCTCATTGCAGAAAATGTTAGCTGACATTCTATTATTTTTTATGTGTGGGCAACATTTCTGATGATGGAAACAGTGTCATAGTTGCAACAACCAATTTAGACTGGGGAAGGCAACTTTGACCTTCAGGAATGTGACTCTGAAAGGCCATCCTCTCTAACGGAGCAAATGTTCTGGGTTCCTAACTGTCTCTGCCCTTACTGGCTAAACCATCTTGAACAGCTCTGTTTCATTTCATTAT